GTTTGTACAGCATGTAAGTATGTAAGGGTCGTTATAATTTGGTTTCATCAAAATCAGATCAGTAGGTCAGCCCTGACACTCTATTAAAGCTAAAAATACATACTTTTAATTACAGAGGCCTAAACGATAGATTTGGTCTGAAAATACAGTGCAGATTATGACTTGCAAGCGAGGAGCATAGGACAAATTTTCAGATTTATCAAATTTCTTCCTGTGCTTATTTTTCAGGTGCCTCGATATTGAGCAAATCTGTAAATTTTAATGTGATGTGGGCCAGCACATCATTACCACTGCCTACCATTTGTGCACTGACTGCATTAGACTGAGGTATGTGTGCAGCGCTCAGGAGAACTCTTTATCACTGCTTTCCTTCCACAGTGCATTTGCCCTACTGAAAAGAAACCCACTAAAAAATTAAGACATGATATTATAGTAAATAAAAAGAGAAACAGAAGAAAATGGATTAAAAACAAGTCCCGGGGAAGGGAAGAAGTTTTTTGAAGTTTTACGATACATCCTTTTTGAAAAGATGTAGATTTTTTTTTTTTAAAGTTAAACATATAACTGGAAACATGAGATGTGGAGAAATGATGCTGCTGAGCAGCAACTGAATCCTGAAACTCAAGTGGATCAATCATGTGTGCATGTTTTCTGAGGTTAAACAGGCAACAGATGAAGAGAGACACCACAACAGAATATACACTGACACAAACAAGAAATAATATGCAACGCGTACTGTGAAATGCCACAAAAGAGTGGGCTATACTGATAATTAAATCATCCACTGTAGACCCTGTTCACTCTGAAACTCCATCCTTGTTTTCTCATTTTTGCCCTTTAACAATTATACACGTGAGATCATATTCCTGCAGATACTGATATGTTGACCTATAAAGCAAACCTTTACCCAAACTCATAATTAACATAGATTTAAATAGCTCCTTGTTTATTTAAGTGAAGAGCAGCTATATGCCGTCACTTTGAAGGATTCCCCTCATCCTACTATGTGTCTATACACATTTGGTCCTCGGAGATGCAGTAGAATATAAATGCATATGTACTCACAGCCTCTCAGTGCCTCTGGGGATGTTTTTGGGCACAGTGTGGATCCCCAGGCCATGGCAGTCCACCGTGTTGCTCAGGCAGCTGCAGGGAGTGGGGCACGCCTCTGCACCTCCGTGACCTGCCAACAGCACCGTAACACTCCACGCCAACACCACCTGCATCCAAGATTGAGGAGCCCGGCCTGTGTCCACTGCAATCATCCCACAGCCTCCTGACCCAGCTCCATCCCCTCTTTTTCCAGCAGGCATTCTGCTCTCCTGCGGAGCTCCCCAACACTGCAGAAACCAGCCAACAGATCCTACCCTCTTCCTTCTGCCCGGGATGACTGACCAGTACTACCTCCTTAAAGAAGTGAGAACCAGCAGGAGAGTGTTTAAAGGGGCTGAGACAGCAGCATAGCCAAGTGAAGTTCAGCTCAAACTGAACGACTGCCACTTGATCCTGGAGTGGCCTTTCAGGGAAATAAAGGAGGACGGAAAAAATACGAGTATGTCCTCTTCTTCTACTTGTCACCAGCTTTAGAGCTCCCTCCAATTGGCTTCTCTTCTTCTACTCTCTCTCTCTCTCTCTCTCTCTCTCTCTCTCTCTCTCTCTCTCTCTCATGCAGCTGTACAGTGTGCTCGCCTCTCCCCTCTACTTTTCATTGAGTCATTGTGCACTGAACAGTGAGCCACTAGGAAAAAAAAAGAAAAAGAAAGGGGGTGTGGAGGGGGGACTCCCTCACTCCCTCTATCTCACACACACAGAGTAATCATCCATCAAAAGCTTTTACAAATAACAGCAGCAAGACTCCTCCTATGCCCCCCCCCCAACTCCACACATACACGCATACGCACACACCAGTACCCAGAGTGACCTCACATCTATTCAGTGGCAGCAGTAGTGGGAGCCGCCACCATCACTGAAGGTGACAGCAGCCTTTCTCTCTCTCTTGCCCTCTCCTTCTTTTTGTCTATCTCGCTCGCCCACATGCGGTCTCCTCCCTTGGGGGAAAAAAAAGAGCCCGAGGCTGCATGAACATGATGAGAAAGGAGAGAGGAAGCGTAAATTGTGATCACCACGAAGCACGAGAAAATATAACCGAAAAGGAGAAACTATTTGTGGAGAGGAAGAACAATAGATGTGACATAAAAGGAGAGGTTGGAAGTTGTACTGCGGATTAATTGGGATATTTTATTTTATTTATTTTGGCCACGGCTCAGTGCCAAGACTGCACACTGAGCTGCAGGAACTTGGGTTGGTTGGGGAAAGTGGGGGGTGAGACTGGCATAACTGGAATGCCATAAGCTGCCAGAGCTTACTCAGAAGTCTATTATGAATTCACTGGCAAGGCTTTGAAATTCAAATGGAGCCTGGCAGAGTTTTTTTCCCCAGTCTCCACAGAAACCCTGGCTTCAGCTTTTTGTGATCACCATACTACCAAGGAAAAAAGGAGCGGGGAAAAAAACTATCAGGGATACCGTGAAGAAAAACCACTTACAGCTGGAAATCTACAGTAAAACCAGTGACAAGGTGTTAAATCCACAAGGAAACAGTGTTTGCTCATTTATTGATTTGTTCTTCTAAGTTATGAATTATTTAGGTCTTCAGTTTAACAGTAAAATAAACCCCAGATTTCTACAGCAAAAAATAAATAAAAAATGTTAAAAAGGAGAAGAAGAAGTTGTTGTTAAATGTAATATTCTGCCAATCAGCTGTATTATAAGTTAGTCTTAAATGGTTTTCAGGCACAGCATTATTAATGCATTATAAGAAGAAAAAATCAGTTCTTTGGCTTGTATCCCTTCTTAAATGTATTCCTGATTCACACTGTTTTATACAACAGTTTTGTGGAGTGTAGTCAGAGCTTCTCTCAGAGATAGATCTGGTTTGTTATTACTTTTCAGTGTGACTGCTAACACCCGGAGGGCACAGTTTACCCAGCTTTTTATTTACCACTATACATGAGTGATTATTGCTCGTGGCCTCACTTTGTCTTCTCCTGGCAGACTCGGAGTGACGGGTTAATTTAACCCGCTGCACTTCAGAAGTGATGGAAAACAAATTGGCCACAGGCAGAGGCCGGCTGCTTCCTTTGTGCAACTGAATTGAATGACTCATTTGGCCATATTCGGTAACAAAGAGAGGGAGACAAGATGTTGACATCTCGAGGGGGTGGTCCCCCTTATTTCTAGGGTCATAATAGCTGTCTGAGGCAGGGGTGGGTGTCGAGGCAGGGAGGGAGCTTTTACTGCAGACGCGTCTGAATTGATTTCTGGAAGTAAAGAGCAGATGCTTTTGTCTCAAAGGCATCAATTCCCAAAAGCGCTAGTGTTTTTCCCTACATGTAATGCAATTTGTCAATAAAAGTTTTAATCCTGAAAACAAGGGAAGACTTAAATGTTGATGAAATTAGTTTGCCCATTAAATTGTTTGGTAAATCTGATAAATTAGAGAACACATACTGCACAAACATTGGAAATCTAAATCAATGTATGAATATGTGGTGGTATAAATGATGCAGTCCCCAAAACATTCACATAAAACTCACAGGTGAAGCAACATCAGCTATTTCATTACAACGTGATGTTCAGGTGGGTCAACAAAACTGCTCAGAAATGACAGGAAACAAAGGCAAATTTCCTATGTCTTGATGCATGCTCAGTCATCCAGCGAAGCAAATCCCAAAAGGTTGATTCTGCTCATCTGGACGTAGCGTTTTCAGTGGGAGAAACATTTCATCACTCATCCAAGTGACTTCTTCAGTCTCACGTAAATGGTTGGGAAAACCATTTATGTGAAAAGGGAAAGACCATCTCTGAAGCGAGGAAGTGGCCTAAGGGTGCATCTTTTGCCATCTTACAATGCTGTGATTGCAGCCATTCCCCAACTTTCTGTGAATGGTACTCATGGCCATGGAGCAATGGTCTTTGATCAGTGGTTGTTGATCAATGGTCATGACAATTTGCATATTAATGATCAAGGAACTGACCTCACAGCCCATTGTTCATTTAGTGGTCTAGCTTCAGTCATTTTGCAAATATACTGTTTATAAGATTGGGGAAACCTGCAGTCAGCTGAGACTAAAGAAGTCACCTGGATGAGTGACGAAACGTTTCTCCCACTGAAACCGTCCAGATGACCAGAATCTAGTTCGACTGAGCCAAAAGATACACTGCCAAAGTCCTGGTGTCAGGAAACAGGACAGGACCCCCAGCAGTCCCATATCCAAACTGTGTGGACTGCACATCAGGGACATGAACAACATAGGCAGGCGGTCGTGATATTCTGACTCATCTGTGTGCAGGACTAAAGGAGCACACTGCGCAGTTAACGAAATATATGCAAACAGGAAATCCTTCTACTATAAAACTGCATTAAAACATCTTTTGAAGATGGCACTGAGAATTTTGTATTTCAATTTGTTGTAATCTTCAATCACAAATCTGTATTTGTAATTAATAGAATAATTACTGCAGGTATAAGCTTGGTTAGTTTTCCATACTAACATTTTGTTTAGTTCATCTTATGTTAAAGGGCAATCTCATGGGAAATATGGGCTTACGTTTACTTATTAATAACAACAACTGATTACCGAGTACGCTGAGGGCAGGAAGTGAAATATACTAGGTAATACTGCCATGAAAAAACTGTTCATGGCAACAGTGAACAATATGTAACAAGCTAAAGTGTATTTGTATGTAGAAAAAAACTTAACTGGCTCATGAGTCCTTCCAAGACACAAGAAGCTATTATAATGTCATTAATCTGAAAACATAATTGGAGACAGACATCTGCATTATTCAACAGCACCCTTCAGTGGGCAAATACTGTCACTGCATTTAAGGGTGCTGTGTGTTTGCTGCTGGGCAACGAAGGCTTCAATTTCAGATTCATTCCAGCCTGAAACTGAAACACTAATTGAAACATTAACTCAGACAAGTTTTCTGTAGAAAACAGAGGTTTTAATGCAAAGTGGATAATCCACCAAGGAACCCACTGTACACGCTTAGCTTATTTTACACTAAAATACAAAAACAATCAGGTTACCACAGTTTACACTACATGATACAACAATAGTCATGGATTAGTTAGCGCTTGGACAACTGAGAAAACTTAACCCAATAATGAATTCAGTAGGAAAAGGTAACCTGTTACCATGTGTGTGTGTTTGCCCCCACCCCATTTCAAAGGAATAAGGTGCACACGAACTTCTGGAGTAAAAACTAAAGCTCCACCCACTTTAGTAAAACCTGGATTTATCAGTGTTCCAGCTTTCTCACAGCACACAAAGAACTCATCAGTGACCATGCACCGCAAGCAAGCAGTCAACTAAATGTTTCACATGTATTATCTAACAGACACGCAACACTGAGACTTAAAACATCTATTGTGTTGTGTTTCACATATAAAACAGTTTCACATCATGAAGACGCTCTTCCAACACAGAGGCATATCTGAAATCAAAACAAACAAGCAAATATTAAAAAATTCAATGGAGTTCTCCCCTTAAACTGTAGAAAAGTGAAAAGGAAATCCCAATTTAGTCTCTACAGACTGTTAATTCTATAAAGCAAAGAGAAGGCAAGGTTTCAGTGTCCATCAGTGATGTTCAACAGTTCATACACTTTCATCAAACCCATTGTAACAACATCCACGGTACTTTCAAAACAAGATACAGCAGAAACAGCTTTCCAACACCATTTTTTAAATTTTAAACCAGCACTTGTAATGAAAAAAATCTAGTGATGTAATCTGAAAATCTGGAACTGTTGTGCTCGTACTCACAATACAATGAACTGAGCAGTTAAGCTGATCTCCTTTTGTCTCGACAGATCAGAGAATAAACAATAAAAGGAACATAACAACTTATGCACTCAAATAAAAGGCAAAGCAAATAACATTACTTATTGCCTGTGTATGTCCGATCTTTGAACACTGACCAACCCTTTTTAAAAGTTTATAGAAAGATAAGATTGCTTAAATTTTACTTTTAACTTTTGTGTGAGTTATAGTTAAGTCATGTGTGTTATGACATCACAAACAGATTTTTAAAAATATTCTGAAGACGAACATGTTTACAGACTCGTTGGTGCTAAAATAAATAAATCATCTGTAAATCACACTTGTGTGCTGGCACGTGACTGCAAGCAGTCTTATGTTTTAGCATTTTGTGATATTAAAATGGTAAAGAAATGAACTGTAGCTGCTTTCTTACTGTAATAAGAGTCATAGTGGAGTAAGTACTTTCCCAAGAGTAGGCCAAAGACACTAAACCCATTACAATAAGAACCTGACTGTAAAAGATTACTACTCATCTTAATCAGAATAACCTTAAAAAAATAATAAAAACAAACAAACAAAGCCAAAACCTCCATCCTTTCAACTTTCCTTAGACCAACAAATCTTTGACCACCTTTATTAAAAGGCGCTGTGCAAATATTTTATTTTGAAAGTTTAGTGACTGCTCAGCAGTTCCCATGTTTCCCTCCCTGCAAACTGTGGATTTGGGGTCTGTCTGCAGCAGGAGACCACCACACTGACAAGTGTAGGAAAACACAAGATGAAGCAAGCAGCATCTGGACTTTCAAGTTAATAGAATTAGTATAGCACCTTTAAGAATAAGAACCTGCCACAATATATATGAAGAATAAAAAATATATATTTTAGCTCCCATAAAGCATTCAGAGAATGCAGCATTTCATATTTGACCAGTGAGAAGTATCCCAGTCACTGGTTCCATATTTGGGGGGAAAAATAAGGTGACCTGCTCACTGATTCTGGATCAGCAGCACAGCACAGGAAAAAAAAAAATCAATGACCCAGTTACTGTAACCCAAGAGTTAAAATACGACGTACCAAACATGTTAATGAAGTTTACAAAAACAAAGCCTAAAAACATATAAAAACAACATACTGTACAACATGTATACATATTCTATACAACAGACTGTAAACACAGCTATCTAGTGGTCATGTATTTTGATACAGTAGCTAGAATGTTAAGTGATGACTGCCACAAGCAGCTCCAACAGCAGAGCCAAACCAAAGCCAGGATCCTGTTATTGATTGATACCATTCACATTCAGGGAGAGCTGGGTGATAGCCCCAGAGGTTAGTGGCAAGCGACACTGTTCGAATGGTTTAAAACTTATGTGCAAATTTGATTATTCAGCAGATCAAACTGGAAGGAGCAGACTTTTTTTTCCCCTGTTCAAATTGTAACACATTGCAACTGGTTATCAAGTCTGCTCATATTGCACTTGATAACCAAAATAAACAGCTAATCTGAGCTCTTTTGTTTCACCTGAATTAGTTGAAATCAATTCAAACAAATAAACTGAAGGACCAACAGTTTTCACTGATGGAAGCTAAAAAAGAAAAAAAAAAAAAACTACCGTGCATGTTTGTAATAGTTTGTAAACAGTGCAGTAGACAAAGAAACTTTCTGACATTGGTTTGGCCGTACTGACTAATTTTTTCACTGCTATGCATCAAAAATGCTCTGAAAACAAACCAACCAAAAAAAAAAAGCAACAATAAAGTTAATACTGCCAAAGTCCTGTCTGAGATGAGGCGGTGTGGGGCTTTACACGGAGATCTCCTGAGAAGGAGAGCAACACAGCCTGGAATCTGAGGGCGAGTCCTTCTGAGAGATGGATGGAAGAAAAAGAGGTGGAAAGAAGGTGGAAGGATAAAAGATGTTAATGCTGGCATTCAATCATAATACTATTTCACCTATACAACCACCAATAATACAGAGGAATCATGAAAACTGCAAAAGCAGAATGAAACGTTACAAAAACAAAATGCGTGCCTTTATGAATTAATAAGTATTTTCTAATAACGCAATTACCTACAAAATTATAACCATCAGTGTTTAAAATGGATTCGATTATGATTATTCATTATCCGCTTCTTGTATTATCTCTGCAAGAAGCAGAGATAGACACGTCATCTACCTGCACTAACTGGTGTCACCCATCCACAGCAATGGACAGTGGACAGAGGTGAAGATCAGAGAGCAGGTAGGGTGGAGTGGGTGAACACATACGTCAAGGATGACAGAAGGAGAGCAGCAAGAGTTTACAAGACCTGGTTTGGAGACAGTAGCACTAACAAAAAACACAGGAGGCTGAACAGGAAGTAGCAGATTTTTATTGGGAGAGATCAGAATGGATTAGTAGTGAGTGTATGAGAGGGACATTTCCAGCTGAGTGGTTTGGACAAAGAGAGGCGAGCTTGAAATGGTTTAGACATGTGCAAAGGACGAATAGTGCATGTATAGCGCAATAGATGTTAAAGATAGAGCTGTCAGGAAGGAGGAAAACCACAGAGAAGAGTCAAGTATGTAGTGACGGAGAACATGCAGACGGCTGGGATAGGGTGAGATGGAGGAAGATGATCTGCTGCAGCAACCCCTAAAGGGAGCAACCAAAGGAAGAAGAGACACGTCCTCTTTATCGTCTCATTTTTATAGTCACTAAAAGCCAAATTCATAAATGAAATTAAAACATGATTAATTCCACAGCCCAATTTAGTAATGAAGCCCAATATGCTTTGTTTACACTGATGGATCCGCATTAAAAAGCCCAGTCTTTTAGGTTGGAGAAGAGTAGATGAACTAGACAAGCAGATGAAATTCCCATTTAGACGTGACAGACTCTAATGCAGCGGTCCCCAACCCCCGGGCCTCGGACCGGCCGTGAGTCGTTTGGTACCGGGCCGCGAGAGAGGCTCAGGTGTGAAATGTATGGTTTTCAGGGTTTTTAATCGGTTTTCAGCGTTATTTTGTTATCGTTTTTATCGTTAACTCGGTTTTTCTGGGTCTTTTCACGTGTGTTATGAATAAATCTTTTTTTCGGTACCGGTACTAGTTTTATTTTGTTGTATTTATCCGCGACACCTAAAAGGCCGGTCCGTGAAAATATTGTCGGGCATAAACCGGTCCGTGGCGCAAAAAAGGTTGGAGACCGCTGCTCTAATGCATGTAATAAATCTTCATACATAGTATTAAAGATAGGAAATGAAAACACATTTAAAGTTAAGCCTGTGCAACTTCCTACAAAAACAAAAAAAAAGTAAATATGGAAAATGACAGTCCTAACACACAAAATTGAATTATTTGCAATAAACAGTTTATCATTAGTGCCTGGAAGAAAAATAATTAATTAAAATTTGAACATTGACTTTTAAATATATATTAAGCAAAGACGAGTGGATGATGAAATACCTTGGAAACCTTCAGAGCTTTGTCTTTGTGAAAAGCAAAATCTGGGTTTTTTACTACCAGTCCTGCTTTTCCCAACAAAGGACTGTTCACCTACACACACACACACACACACACACACACACACACACACACACACACACACACACACACACACACACACAGGAAACAAAAGTATCACTGTTTGACATGACAGAGTCCTGGCTTTAAATACCATTTAGCACATGATGTTATCATATTTCCAAGGAAAAGTTAAATTTTGGGATCCCCCGTTTTGTAGTTAATACAAAAATGTCAGTGTTAGAAAAACAAAAACAGACTTACTGCTTGTAAGATGTCGTTCTCTTTATCAGATTTTCTTACAGTTCTGGTGAGAGCATCAGGAGAGATGTGTCTGACTCGTCTCTCTGCAGTCAGCTGCTCACCTCGAGCTTTGCGCTGTTACCAGAGGAGCACGGGGCAACAGTAAGAGACAGCAAAAGTTACATATGGATATGTACAACTTCATTATTAGCACTAAAAATCAACCTGTAAGCTGATTCCAGTAATGCCTTTTTTAATATTTATATAATATTTGGTGATCACAGGTTTTCTGAACTGTCTTCCTTCTTTTTGTTAATGCATATAAATTTTCATAAAAATCAAGTTTAATTATTAAACTTCATTTCTCAAGACTTCCCAGAATTATTTATTACTTTGATGAAGCCACCAAAGGAGCGGGAACGCGGGTGTTTCTTGCTGGGAGCTGGAGGGACCTGGCTGCCCTCATTGGTACGTGTCCCAGAGTTTGTCTGTTTGACTAACTGCACACAAAAACATCACATTACATTTTATTTCAAAAGAAACTGAGCTGTCAGATTTTAGTATAGTATGAAGACCCTTAAGCGAACCTGTCTAACAAGTTTCTTCTTCTTGGCAGAGTCTGGCATGTTGTGGTGGACGTGTCTGAAGAGCTCCTTCAAAGCCTCCTCTGTATATTGGTTAGCTGGTGACTGACACTGCTCCTGAGAGCCGGGGCCCAGAGCAGCTGCCCTCTTCAGAGGTAGTACTGTCCGCTGAGCAGGGGAGCTGCTGGTCGCCAGAAGCTCCAGATCATCCTGACAGAGCACAGGACAAGTCAGACTGTACACTTGAGGGCACACCGTTTGTATTAGAGCCATTACTGCACATTAATGCAGCCATTTATTCTAAATGCTTTTTAAGGTTTCACACATAATCACACTTGGATGTATCAGGTACAATTTGGGGCCTCAATTTGACATCAAACCTGCCCTGCTAAAACCAAACCTGAGCATAACCATCGTCATACTTTTCACTGACTGTAAAAAGTAAGAGGAAGTGAAGAAAACAACTTAAAAGTTGTCTTTGAATTTTTATTGTCTTTTCAATTAATTTATTGTTCCAAAATTCAAAAGCAGGAGAAATGCAAAATAATGTGAACTTGGTTCACTAACCTTGGTCTGCAGAGCCTTGGTCCCAATGAAATGCATTCTAGCGTATTCCCGCAGGTAGACTGGGGCCTGAACAACATACAGCAGAAAGATGTGCCTCACTAAACCAGTAACATGACATTTTTAAAACCCTGATTAATTTTCAAAATGTTCAGCTGTTAAGTCACACGTTTGTCTATAATCACCCTGAAGAGTTTCTGTGAGTGTTTGATGAGAAAAGCCATGCTGCTGTTTAGTTTCTTCAGATTGTCTTTAAGGTCACCAGCTGTCATCTAGAGCAGGAGAACAGAATGAAGAAAATATAAATCTTACCAGTGTAAAAATGCAGGTCTTTTAACCTTCATAGGATATTGTCATGAAAATGTAGACTCACTAACAAAATGTATTTAACAAGCTTTTCAAATCTCTGTAATATAAGATCTGATTACATGTTACATTTTTCCAGGTTTGAATCAGCCTCAATGTATTAATTTATTATTTTCATTGATGCTGCTTTTTTAAATTGCCCAAGTTCTAACAACATATAAGCCCCTCCAATAAAGACAAAATGTGGGTTTTTTAGTCTGTGTTACAAAACATGTGCATTCCCTTAAAATCCATCAGCATGTCCCAAACATTTGATTCTATTCATGTGAACGTAGTGTTTTCAGTGGGATCCATCAGGATACGCGCCATCCTCCACTGCATGAATGGCTGATGTAAAAACTATTTAGCTTCCAAAATGAGCAAGACACTCTTGATCTATAATTTGCAAAGTTTTTATTTCTTTTTCTGAGAATTTTTAATATGGAGTAAATTATGACTCTTACATGTCTAGGCCAGAGGACGTGTGGAGCAAACATGAGGGCCAGGTTGAAGGAGGACATCTTGTTCTTGTCCTGCTGCTTGGCGGTGTGGTAAAGCAGGTCCAGCAGCAGTTTGAGCAGTGAGCGGTTGGCCTGAGGTAGGAGCAGGAAAAGAAGCTGCAGGGCTTCAATCTGACGCTCCTTGTTGGGTATCGTGGTCTTGTTGCCTTGTTCATCAAACAGAGTCATGTCTAGAAAAAAAGTTATTTAAAACAGACAAAATAGATTAGAGTGGCTATGTATTAAAAAAACACAAATGTTTCACCAAAAACATGACAGAATTATTAAATGAGAATTGTACCTCTGTTCTAAAGTGAGAAAATAAAGGTATAACCAAACGTGTGTTTGTTTATATACCTACCAGCTATTTTGAGGTGAGCATGAAAGTGTCTGTGTGTCAGCAGGGGCTCCGGCAGCTCTCCCAGGAAAGTCTTCAGCAGCGTGGCCGCATCATTGGGATGAAAGTCCCCAGACTCCAGGTTGAAATCAGCCCCACTGTTGAGGAGCTCCTTCAGGGCCTGCTGTCGAACACTGTTTCCAGGCACCCGAAACAGTCCCTCAACGTGCAGATCTAAGTGTGCAAGACCAGAATAATCGAATGTCATCATTCTGGATCAGTTTACGGATTCACCATTCCTGGATGGCATCAAAACAAGTAACACAAGTAAATAAAACAAGTAAATAAAAGTCAGATCCGCTACAAAAAAACTGAATTCAAACGTTTGGCACCGCAGAAGGAAAAATGATTGTCCCTCAAAACAGATCATTTTCCGAATTGTACAGAAATATTTTGGATTTAGGGCAAGTGATGTTAACCAAGAACAACTAGCTTGCAACAATGAACTGAAATCCCCAATGCAATTGCATTCCACGTGGCCAAAGATGTGTCCACTACTCACACAGAGACACAAAAGCTTCAATAAAATGGTCAATGTACTCAGACAAAACAGACGTTATCCTGTTCTGTAATTATTTTTCCGAAAATGGAAATACTTCTACTCTATGCAAAATGATCATGGTAATCGTTTTGCACATAATTGCGCAACCCTATTTAATATGGCTGATTGGAACAGTTAATGCATATGGTGCAAACACGTATTCAATTTGAAAATATGCTGACTGTTAAAGTCTTTTAATAATCACCACATTTAGCAGGATATTTCAAGCTTTAAAAATAAGTCAGTTTTTTCTTTGCACTTGCACTCAGTGTGTTTTGTCAATGTATCCAAACAGTATGAAGAAGTTGTGGCAAACGTGTAGTAAGAGTTAACATATAGTACATATTAAATAAAATTTGCAGTGCTAAACTTTCAAAACGGATTATCTTGTTATTCTGCTCTGAATCCAAAAATGTACTGCATGATTGTGACCTCAGGAGAGTTTGTCTAAAAGAGTGCACAAACTGAGAAAGCCTCTTCACAAATGAAACACGGCCAATGTTGCAGCCAGTGTAGCTGCTTTCTACATGAGCGAAGAGGACACGGATGTATTAACAACTGATTAAGGAATCTGCGAATATCATTTAAATCACTCACTTTTACTCAGGTAATCAATAAGCTTGTACATCTGGGCCATGCAGCTTTCTGTCAGACAGGTTCCAAACACAAGGCTCTTATCTGTGAAAGCATGAAAAAGGAGATACTAAAGATTAAAGACCTCTCAACAAATTTGCATATTCTGCATGCGCTTTCAGTTTTCACCACAGTCGTAACCTAGCTGAGTGTCTGACCTTTGCGTTTAAGAAAGTTGAAAGAACGGAAAAATCCTCCATTTCCGCCTGTTGGGGTCTTGGGGCTGTCCTCTCCCAGAAGCTGTGCAAACTCTGACCCAGGAAGATCAATTAGTCTAGTAATGTTACTGAGCACCAGCTCCAGGAAAACATCTGGGTTCTCATGGCGGAGTTTCTCAACAAAAAAGTCTGGGTTGAAGATGACTGGTGGTCGGCCAGCACGAGAAGCCCCAGGAGATTCCTCATGGTTGATCACCATACTGTACACTGTATTGCTGAGGAGGAGATGCATAAGGTTAACACATGTATGCAAGTGTGAGGAGGACACTTTACATTTAGATTTAGCACTTTTATCCAAAGGGCTCTGGAATTGGTGTCTCATTCAACTATTTGCTGATACACCCATAACAGTGAGTCACCATCCAAGGTGGCCTTAACAATTTGGGATTCACAGTTTCACCCAAAGAAATGTTAACATAAACAGCAATAAGGTGTACACAAACTGTCTTATATATCTGATCTTCAAAATTAAACATCTCAAGCAAAGTTTGATAAGAACTTTAAGACAGTAAGCTACGGCAAACAAGATTACTTTGTTATTTAGCTCGTTTTACCTTCTGAAGAAGGTGAATGCATACACAGACACGCGGGACAGTGATAGCGTGTATATTATAGATGTTAACCTAGATCCATTTTAGCTGATGTGAAGTAGATCAGCCCAAACACATTATGTACATTCAAGCAACTCAGCTAACATTGCCAGTGCTTTATGTTCCCACTAGTATCCGATAATATTTTTAGACGTAGCTATACATTTAAATTGCTCCAAAACTGTAACTAATATAATGTGTGGGTGTTTTAAACTGCATTACGACGACGACAAGCTGATGACACGCTGCTGTGCCACTACACTAAAATGACCAAGCTTGTTGAGTGGCAGTTTATCACTCTCATTAACAAAACGCGTTTTCAGCAGTTTAAAAACTCCATAGTTCAGCAATAAGCGTAAGAAACTCATCGTCTATGTTAATACCAACAAAATATTAAAAAATCTATTTCGTTTTTACCTTCTTTTTTCTGTGTTTTCATCTGCAGCTTTACTTGTAGCCATGTTCAGTTTGAATGCTCGGCTGTTGTCTTCTGGGCACCGCCTACGTCGTCAACCATTGGTGGTTGTCGAACTCGGGGCGTGACACGAGGGCCATGATTTGCATGTCTCTTACTATGATTGGTCAGTTTGAATGTAGGGGTTAATAGAGAGGAAAACGATATCAGTAAACAAACAGAGCTGAATGAACTAAATATTCAGCTCATTCAGCTATTATATATCCGCAAATTTTACACAAAATATCAGCCAGGCGTCAATTCTTTTTTTTTTTAAATTACAGTTACTTTTGCGTTGTCAAGTATGACCTTATTATTAATAGTAGTAGTAGTGATAGTATTAGTAGTAGAATATATATATGATTTAAAACTGCCCATAGGTGTGAGAATGGATCTCTGCCACGACAGACTGGCAACCTGGTGTACCCAGCCTCTTGTCCTATTGCAGCTGGTATAGGCTCCAGCCTACAGATTGGGTTCTCATTTTTTCCAGATGATTGGGCACCATGGAGAAGAAGAGAAATTTAGTTTGTTGTGAAGAAGTTATGTGGAGCAGTTACAAAAGTTGAAAAGTGATCATATAAATGGGGGTTTAAATTTTCAACTGATAAGACTAAAATAATGTTTTTACGAGGAAAAGAGCTGGTAATAGTATCAACCTCAAATTAAGTGGACAAGAGTTGGAAAGAGAACAACCTAAATTTATTGTATTTTGGTTTAATGAAAGGGTGACATGAGCTGTAAATATTAATAGTAATAATAATAATACACACGTGCATATTAAACATAATGAGGAAGTGACAGAAATTCTTTGAAAACCATTTAGTATTAGTATATATAATCCAAAACCATTGGATTATTCAGGGCAGTATTATATCAGTGCTCCATATAATTCTCCATAAATGGCAACAGCATGTAACAGCTCCATATAATTCAGCGGCAGGTACAAGTCTTCATAAATTCAACAATATCCATTATCAGTCTCTAAGACGCTCCATAAGTGCATTTAAACAACCCCGACAGCAACATTACAGGAAGTGATGAAAAGAAAGAAAATAAACGCTACTTCCATGGCTGCAGGTGTATCAAATAAAGCACCTAGGCACGCAGACTGCTTCTACAAACATTTGTGAAAGAATGGGTTGTTCTCAGGAGATCAGAGAATTTGAGCGTGGCATCGTGATATGGTGCCAGCTGTACAACAAGTTCAGTCATGAAATTTCCTCGCTACTAAAAATTCAACTGTTAGTGGCCAAAGGGATCACCAACTTTCTGCAGAGTCAATCACTACAGACCGCCAAACTTCATGTGGCTTTCAGATTAGCTCAATAACAACCGTAGAGAGCTTCACAGAATGGGTTTCCATGGCCAAGCAGCATCCAAGCCTTAAATGCAATGCAAAGCACCGAATGTAGTCCCTTCTATATCTAGGGTGTTCTGTATAATGTTTGATCATGATTATACTTTTTTTTAATATATTTTTTCTACAGTAAAAAAGTGACCTTGGATTTCATATATTTCTTACACAGAACATGCAAATAAAGATTTGAAAATATTTTGTAGCTGTTGTTGAAGAGCTGTGTCAGAGGTTTGCTCTGCTGTGACAGAGCTGCTGCTGAACAACAAACTAGTTGTTAAGTTATGAAGTTAATTTCCTTCTCATAAAAAGTCTTTATGACACAGCAACATGACTGTTTAGTTATGTTGCATTTGTGCACTTTGCAATGTAATTACTTCTCTGCTTTTCTGTGCTTCGAGACATCACTTCTGATGAGTGTGTGTTTAATGTCCACAGTGTGACAAAGTGGATCTGTAGTCAAATCCATTCATTGTTAAGTTGTTTGTTTTTTTTTTATCCCTACCTATTAAAGTAACTCTCTCAAATTACACCAGCCAGGAGCGCAAGATCGGAACAAATGAAAATTAAAAGAATCGATTCATTCAATTCAACACACTTTTATTAAAATTTACATGGGTAAAGACCATGTGAGGCATTTGCAGAGTGCAGTAATCACTGTCACAATGCGCGTTAGGCAAACTGTTGAAAGAGTAACACTATTGTGGTGGTTGGATGGCATGTCTTTCTGGTGACAAATTCCATACTAAATTCAAACATTGTCTGTGGATCACGTTGTCATAAAATATATACAATTTTCAAGGTAACTGTGTGCCACAGATTTTTTAATTCCTATTTGGAATTACTTTAATTTAAATATAATTTAAATATTCTTCTCCTGAAAGTGAAACTGACAAATACACATGCCATAAGGCCAGTGGCAAAAAATACTTTTGGTAACAACTGACAGGGTCACAAAACTGACACTGTGCCTCTTCAGCCTACGTGTTCCTTACATTTTTACATGCTGTTGCCATTTAAACAACCTGCATAAAACAACAGGATTCCTGGAGCATTTAAAACTAGGTCACTGGTTGGCCCAATATTAAAGGAGAGGATGCTTAAACATTAAAAGCATATGGACTCTTCCTTCAGGAATGTTGCAATGCTATGGAGGAATTGTAGCACTTGGAAGAATTAAGCATGCTAGCTGACATGAAAATTCAGATTCAGAAGTTTCCATTCAAACTGAGAGAAAAATGGAGAATAAACACAAACAAGATTCTTGAGAGGACTGACCAAAGAGCATGTCTTCTAGATATTGGTAACTTTATTGAACATCAGATTAGGATTATACCAGACCCAGTTTTTGGAGATATACAGGATTTACAGCTGCAAAGGGAATCATAAAACCTATTAAATCTCAAATAAAATTGCAGTTTAAAAGAAACACCTTTGTCACTCATGTTTCTCTTAAGAATGACTGTAAAATTGCTTCTTTCAAACATGACAAGTCTCCTGTCAAATCAAGCTTTTTCCTGTCTGTATTGTGTACAGGATGGTCATATATTGGAACAATGTCGACAGCTATAGGAAAAAGGTCACATGGGGAAAAATGAGACTTTATAAAGTATAACTGACTGTTTGACTGCACAGTACAGAGTCCTGCCTATTGAGTGTAGTACCAGCAAATGTGACAGAAGAGACTTCTCGTTAAAAGGTTTCTTGAAACATCTTCAAAAAACTAAAGAAGTCGATTCACTTTTCTCTTTAAGCTCCTTCGATCAGAATAGAATGTTATCATTTAGAATGGAATATCATGAAGAATCATATTTTATCATGCAGAATGTAACATTATCGTCTAAAATAGAATGTCAAAATATGCAAGAAAATTTCAACTTGTCAAATGAAACATACTCAAGTATGGAATGTCACAGTGCCGAATGAAATGTCATCATATACAATGGAATATCATTGTATAGAATGGCATTTTATCATGCAGAATGGAATTTCATTGTCTAGCATGGTAAATAATCATGTGGAATAGAACATCATCATGTAGAACACAATGTCATAGTGAACAATTGAACCAAATGGCAACACAAACAAACCCACCAACTTTACGCTCTGAACCACTGAACAAGTGAAACGTATAAATGAAATTGATGATTTATTTTAGTGAAGAACACAGTAAATGGAGCTGTGATAACTGGGATATGTATTGAGAATACCTGATTGGAGGCAGGCATATGTCTGTGATATGTAAAGGCGATCAATCAGCATGTGTTTTTCAGTAGTTGCAGGAGCAATAAGTTGCGTATATCCTCTTGACTAACATTTCATAGATGCTTTTTTCCCTCTTCTCATAAGTCTCCACAAACAATGACTGGTTGGTGATTCGTCATGTTCAATGAGTCCAACAGGTTTTGCATTTGTGGTAAAAACCTGTTGTGGCTGTAATTTGGTGGTCTGTATACAGTTGCAATCAAAGCTCTGACTGGTGATTCAACTTTGAGGACAACAAATTCAAGGTCAGTCACATTTTGCAGGTATTTTCAGGCCTCAGCTCTAAGAGTTTTCTTATAGTACAGTGCAAATCCACCACCAAATCAAAATCAAATCAAATCACTTTTATTGTCACATCGCATGTGCAGGCACACTGGCACAGCACATGCGAGTGAAATTCTTGTGTGCGAGCCCCACAAGCAACAGAAATGTGCAAACACAACAACACAAACCAGCAAATACAAGAATGGCTACATCTGAAACTAATAAATATATGTACAATATATAATAGGTGTGAATGTGCGAGTGAATGTGAGTGTGAATGGTTGTCTGTCCCTATGTGTTAGCCCTGCGACAGACTGGCGACCTGTCCAGGGTGTACCCCGCCTTTCGCCCTATGTCAGCTGGGATAGGCTCCAGCGCCCTCCGCGACCCTGAAAAGGATAAGCGGAAGCGAATGGATGGATGGACAATATATAATAGTGTATGCATTTCTGGATGCCATTTACCTTTGCCGTGTCTGTATGGTTTGTGTAAGAGACGTGTCTGCTGTATTGTTCCAGCTGGAGGGAGAATGAGAGGATCCAGACAAGTGTGTTTCTCAGAAGCAAGTTTAGCATTGGGTATTTTGGTCAGACATCTTACATGTTATATACTTGTCAATAAATTTGTACACATGGTCTTTGAGGTCGCTTCCTAATTCAGGTGGATCTTTGACCTAAACCAGTAAATGGATATGAGGGCTACCTCTAGCCTGAAACTCCATTCTATAGAAGTCACCTTCTACAGGATCAGATTTGCCATTAGGGCATCGATTCTCTTTTCAAACATGCGCATGACAGTGACAGGTTTGTATCAGAGAATTTCACACTTTGAATTCCAGTCAAGCTCTGAAAACTCCACTTGTTCACTTTGTTGAGTTTTTATGCCTTCAACAACCTCAGGCCATTTTATTTCAGCAGTCCAAAATGTCAGGAAAAAAGTTGGCTATCCTAGCTGTCTGACCATAGCATGGATATCTTTCAGTGACCTTCTCCCAATAGACTGGAGTACCTCTCAGAGGTTTGATGAAGCGTGTTCATCTTTGTTATCTATCAATTTCACCACTTCATCTTTATTCTGAAGCATTCTGTTAGAGTTTTAGATTCATCTTTGGTGATTGCCTTACTTTTGTGCAATTGAATTGACATGCTGTTTGTAGCCATGTGTG